GGAGGGAAGGAAGGAAGGAAGGAAGGAAGGAAGGAAGGAAGGAAGGAAGGAAGGAAGGAAGGAAGGAAGGGAGGGATCTCCACAATTCAGGCCCTAATGTGAAAGGAGGCCAGACAGCTGGCCTGAAGCACCTCCTTGCTCTCTCCTCTATTAATGGAACAAAACCATGGCAACAAATTAAATCAGCAGTTTGTATCTTTTTTCTTGTACTGCTAATTGCTAGCCTAATTGCAGACTGCTGGGATTTGGGGTCCAGTTGGAATGGATTTATTAAGACAACTTAGTGGACCACAAGGAAGCAGAACTCAGGCCTGTGAGGAGAGCATAATTAGGAAATATAGAGGCAGGAGAGAGAAATGCAAGCAGAACTTGAAAAAGTGTCTAAAAATTCAAGTATATTTTTAAAAGAAGACACCAAAACTTTAAGAGGTTGGATTTGCCAGTCCTCCATAAAGTCCCCTTCCCCATTTCTGCCTCACCTGCCCTCCTGGCATCTATTTCTGCCAGGCCCGAGGCCTTCTTCCTGCCCAAAGTCCCAACCTAACCTGAAGATCTTGCTGGGGCCACTCTTGGTGTACCTGGACAAGAGATCTCTGGGGAGCAAGGCTACCCAAGGAAGCAGCTGGGCCCCTGCTGGTCATCTCCACCTCTCAGATTCCCTCACTAGACCTAGAGAGGCTGGTCTGACTGGCGGGAGAGAACTGACTCTGCCCTGAAGGTCCTTTTTTCAAGAGACAAATGGACTTTGTTTTTTCTTCTGAAGATGTTTCACTTCTCATCCAAGAAGCTTCTTCAGCTCTGGCTGGATGTTGGGGAATGGGAGGATTTATCCTCCTTGCAGACAGCTGGCCATTTGCATCCTTTGAGAGAGTCGTTGAGGCCACCTGGAGGCTTATCTCTGTCTTCAGGGTCACCTGAGTGGTGCAAATGGCTGTGGAGCCTTCTTGGAACTGCTGAAAGGACCGTGTTGTAGATTGGAGAGAGATGATGTCATATCCCTCCCCCTCGGTGGAGAGAGGGCTGTTCAGTTTGGACAGAGATGGCCTCTGTGACCCCGCTTTCAAACCACTTCCCATCGGTCAGAGCTGAAGAAGCTTCTTGGATGAGAAGCAAAATGTCTTCAAAGGAAAAGCAGCCTCTTGGAAAAAGCACCTTTGGGCCAACCATCACCTGGAGGACTGAGGCCCATGCGTGTGGGCCAAGCATGTGGGGTTCCTGGAGCCCTGGTGCAGGAAGGCAGACAAGCCTCTTCTTCCCATCAGCCTGGGCCCCACTGCTCATGAATGGGGTCTTTGGATAAACAGGGATATTCGGGGGGGGGGGTCTTCTCCAAACCTTTCTCGATGCTGAGGGAGTCGATGGCTCTGTATCCGGCGTTGGCAATGCCGTGCTTGGCCCCGGCTTCCATGACCGCCCGGTAGACTCTCAGGCAGTGCTCCCGGGGCACATGCAGCTCCCAGCCCATCTCGCCCACAAACGACAGCCTCATGGCCCGCACCTGGAGACGGGGAAGAGGAGGCGGTGAGGGGAGGGTAGCAGGGGAAGCCCTGGGCTAACTCCCTGCCTGCCTGCCACCACTTCCAGAAACCTCTTTTACCCACCCCACTTTCTTCAGTGTAAGCCCCCTCCTCATTTGCAGAGAGCTGCTCAGCTCTGCTCAGAGTGACTCCCCTGGGCGTCTTGCGTGAAGTGTTTGGCTTCTCCATTCTTCCAGGGCTTTTGTGCTTGCTAGCTGGCCGTGGGGCCTCAGTCCAGCCATCACCAGAGGTTGGGCTGTGGCTCCTCTGGTCTCTGACAGGAGAGGACGGAGGCCTGCCGGGGGTGGGGGGCTTCTGGGAGCTGCCCCGCCATGGCCTGTACTCAGGGCCGTGCAGTCAGGGGAGGAAGGGGAGGCAGAGCCTCATCATTTTCATCATGAAAAGGAAAAGGAAAAGGAAAAAGGCTGAGGTAGTTGCTGCCAGAGTCACAGTGGATGACTCTGCTTAGTGCTTAACTGTGTAAAAAAGCCTCTAAAAAGTGCCTTCTATAGGAGGCGGCAGGAGAACGAGGTGCCTCATTTAGTCTGACTTTATAATCACTCGAGCAGAGCTAAGCAAGGGTTAAAAGTTATGTAGATGAGGCACATGGTTCTCTCACCTCCTGTAGAGGGCGTTTTTTAGAAGCTTTTTAGAGGCTCTGGGATCAACTAGCTCAGTCTGACCTCAGAGCTCATGACTTTCTCCTTTTACATTTTCTTTTCTTTTCA